CCCCCCCCCCCGCATCAAGGCTGAGCAAGGTATCCCACCATAGGGAATGGGCTCCAAAAAGCCAATTCATGCACCAGGGTTAGATTCTGGTCCCACTGCCAGGGATTCCACAAACAGACCAAGCCACACAACTGTCGCCCACATTCAGAGGGCCTCCACAGCTGTCAGTCCAGAGTCCTGAGCACCCACTAGCTCGGGTCAACTGTTTCAGTGGGTTTCCCTATCAGGGTCTTGATCCCCCTTGCTCATATAACCTGTCTTCCCTCTCTTTGACTGGATCAGGAGCTTAGCCCAGTGCTTGGCTATGGATCTCTGCATCCGCTTCCATCAGTTACTGGATGAAGGTTCTATGATGACAATTAGGGTAGTCACCAATCTGACTAGAGAAGGCTAGTTCAGGCACCCACTCCACTACTGCTAGGGGTCTTACCTGGGTCATCCTGTGAATTCCTGGGAATTTCCCTAGCACCATATTTCCCCTAACCCCATAACAGCTCCCTCTATCAAGATGTCTCTTTCATTGCTCTCCCTCTCTGTCCCTCCCTCAACTTGACCATCCCATTCCCTCATGTTTCCATTTCCCATCCCATCCCTTCTCCCCCACTGCCAATTTACCCTGGAAATCTTATCTCCCCTTCCTAGGGTGATCCATGCATGTCCCTCTTAGGGTCCTTCTTGTTCCTTAGCTTCTCTGGGGCTGTGGAGAGACGGTTCTGTGTGTTAGAGAAGCTATACTCAGGCCGTGGACAGACGGCTGTGTGTGCTGGAGGAGCTGTGCCCAGGCTGTGGACAGACGGCCGTGTGTGTTGGAGGAGCTGTGCCCAGGCTGTGGACAGATGGCCGTGTGTGCTGGAGGAGCTGTGCCCAGGCTGTGTGTAGACGGCCGTGTGTGCTGGAGGAGCTGTGCCCAGGCTGTGGACAGATGGCCGTGTGTGCTGGAGGAGCTGTGCTCAGGCTGTGGACAGACGGCCGTGTGTGTTGGAGGAGCTGTGCCCAGGCTGTGTGTAGACGGCCGTGTGTGTTGGAGGAGCTGTGCCCAGGCTGTGTGTAGACGGCCGTGTGTGTTGGAGGAGCTGTGCCCAGGCTGTGTGTAGACGGCCGTGTGTGTTGGAGGAGCTGTGCCCAGGCTGTGTGTAGACGGCCGTGTGTGTTGGAGGAGCTGTGCCCAGGCTGTGTGTAGACGGCCGTGTGTGCTGGAGGAGCTCTGCCCAGGCTGTGTGTGCTGGAGGAGCTGTGCCCAGGCTGTGTGTGCTGGAGGAGCTGTGCTCCTGATGTCGTGGCTACACCGTCCTCTGTTTTAGGAGCGGCTACACATCTGAGGCTGTAGATCCACAGTTGTCTGTGTTGTCAGTGTTGTGAGGTTTTTGTTTTCCCGTGTTCATGGTTACTGTGTTTTAGGTTCCTACATGGATGTTGATGCCTGAATGGTTTCTCCTGAGTAGAAGCTTCTTTCTGGATCACAGCACCAGTGCCCACTTGGCGTCTTCCGCTGTACATACAGATCGTTCCATGTCTAATCTACTATGCTGAAGCTCCTGGAGATGAGAATGAACTTGCATTACGGGTTTGAGGGGAGAGTAACTCCTGGGAGCTGGAAGCTTTCCGCGTGGCTCTGTCTGTACAGGAGTTGGCACCTAATTGTATTTGGCTCCTGGGCGCACTGGAGGTAGCTGTGTTTGGAGAAGGAGGTGGTTATTGCCTCTACAGTGGTGAGTGTGGTCAGTCTTACTCTGGGACCCTGCTGGATGTTTGGCTCCTCTTTTCTGACTTGTGTCCCCTCACTGAAATACAGGTTTCTCTTTTTTCCCATCAGAATTCCCTTGATGAGCTTACCCAACAATTCGTGTACTGAAGGCTTACCCCTTGTTTCCATCTGGAGCTCCTCCTAATTCAGCCTCCAGAGACTTCCTGTCAGAAGTTCCTCATCTTGTCTAAGAGCACTTTAGATGGCAGGAACCGCTGCTCCTGCTCTACAGAGCCTCCTCTCACCATCTTTCTGTCTGGATTCATCAGAGCTCCGTCCTTCAGTCGCTCGGGTTAGGACCTCAGCTCACTCCGCACCCAATCATTGTTGAGTTCCATCTGTTTTACCTTTAAACCTTGTCTTGCATTTGGTCACCTGTCACACGTCCATAGGTGCTAAAGGCACAAGCTGCCAAATCCTTCTTCCGAATTCTGATTTACTTCTAACCATCTTCTTTTGCCTCCATCTCTCTGTGCCTGTGTTGAGGGTACTCTCAGAGTCACTCAGCTTCTGTCCAGAGTTCCCTCAAAGCCCAGCAACTCCTCACCCATGCAGAGAAAGAGCCATGCATGCGGCCCCACCCTCAGCCTGTTGCAGCCCCTGCTAGTGTCCCGGAGTCCCTAGGTCTGGACACAGGTGGTGGCTGCACTTGTCCTCCCGCTGCTGGGTCTCCGCCCTCCCCAATGTGGCACGCGTTTATGTGGGCTGCCGCCACTGGTCCTCCATGTACCTCAGTCATCTGTTTCGCCTCCTGGGGTTAACTGCTGTGTCTTCTCCTCATGCACGTTAACCTTCCACAGAGGCAGAGGCTGTCTCTTGGGAGCTGGTCCTGCAGATGTTGAAAAGATGCTGGATAGCATGCGTAGCCCAGGCTGGCATGTGTAGCCCAGGCTGGCATGCGTAGCCCTGGTGCTTGTGAAAGAAGGCAAATCCTGAGTGGTTTTGTTTGTGGCACACATGCATTCCTTTCTGTAGCATTCAGTCAGGGTTCTCGGAAGGATCAGAGCTGGTACAGTGAAAGTGTGTGTGTGAGTGTACGTGTGTGCACGTGTGTGGAGGGGAGTATCAGAGCACCTTATAGGCTGTGTAGATCAATAATGATTGTCTCCTAAAAGGTCAGGAATCTGGTAGTTCAGTCCCTGAAACTGGATGTCTCACCAGTTCCAGTTTGGTGCTGGAGTCCGGTGAAATTCCTGGAGAGCAGCTGGCCTTCCGTCTATCATAGAATCCCCGCACAGTGGGCTCTGATAGCAAAGGAATGCCCCAGGAACAAGGTAGGTGAATTTGCACACGGGAGTGAGGGCACACAGACAGAGAATGAAAGCTCCCCTTTTCATGTTCTTAATGTGGACTGTCACTGAAGGTGTGTTCTGGACTTAGGGTAAGTCCTCTAACACCAAACAATCAGATTTAGGGTGAGTCTTCCCTGCTCAGATGGTCCAACCAAGAAAGTCCTTCACAGATGTTCCCCGCTGCTTGGGTTTTAGTTGATCTCAGATGTAGTCAGATTGACAGCTAAGCTGAGCCACCACATACAGGGTCTTTTGTTTGCCTGGTGACACATCCGTGGTGATTAGCAGTGGTTTCTGAGGCTCAGGGCAGATGGCAAGCACCGTCTTTTCTGGTTAGCTCCATTCAGTCTTCTCTGCACGTTTTGCATTGTTATCCAGGGCTCTGCAGGCTGCCGTGGAGATGTCGCCTTGGTAGTAAGAGCCTCAGGGGTCAGAGTTCTCAGAGCACACTGTCTGCAGCACTGGTCAGAGTTGGTCACTGCCAGAGCCTGAATGGCAAGGGACACAGGGAAAAGTGCTGGGTTGGTCTGTGCAGCTCTTCTGTGTGCCCGTGGCCATCACCTTGGTCCTGCACTGAGCTGCTTCAGAACAAAGACTGTGCCCACTATCACCTCCCAGCCAGTTGTTCCTCTGCTTGTATCCCCGGAGCAGAGAACAGTCCAGGACCCATTCTTGTGACATCTGATGATCTGACACTCGTATCTGGAATTTGCTCTAGGGGTGACTCCTCGAGGGACTGTCCTGGGCTCCCTTTTACAAACAGTGCTCTGTTTGAGATTTAGTCCAGATGATCGAGCTGTTGCCGTGTGTGCTGGAAACAAAATATCCGTGCTAGACGTGGAGGTAAGGACGACACACGTGGAAGTGCCAAGCACACCTTGGGTGGCACCTTCCAGGCTGGGTTCCTGTTGGTGAGTATTTCACTCCTCCTTCCCTTTTTATAGTGGCAGTTTGGTTTGATGTTTTCTTGTAAAGATGTGTGTGTGTGTGTGTGTGTGTGTGTGTGTAATCCAAAAAAACCATCTTAATCTTGTAATTGATAAGACACTAGAATCATGTTAATGTGAATTTGTGTCAGGGATATTTTTCATTGGCACATTTACCAAAACAGTTCTTTCTTGATGAGTCTCCTGCCTTAGGAGTCCCCCAGAATCTGCTTGTACTTGTCAAAACCCACTTCCCTCCGTGGCTTAGACTTCTCACTTGTTTCTTACTTGAGACAGTTTACCTAAAAGTGTATATCTCCTAGATTGGGGATTCTAGCCCAGCATTTGTCAGGCACTGGGCTTGAGCATGGGAAAGCAGTGCCAGGTGTTAGAAGATCTCCCTGGAGAGAGGGAAGGAGCCTCTGCTCCCCGAGTCCATGGAGAGTGCCCAATGCCTGGAGTGGCTGTCTTACCCACTGTTGGGAACACAGCTATGGAGGAGCTCTGTCTGCTACAGCAAGGGAAGACGACAGCCAAGAATCATGAGGTGCTTATCCTCGGCCCTCGGATATGGGAGACATTTGGGGATACGAAATATCCTAGTCACTGTTCTACTGCTGTGAAGAGACACCATGGCCAAGGCATTTGATCAGGAGCTTGCTCTTACAGTTTCAGAAGTTTCAGAGGCTTAGTCCACTGTCGTCACAGCAGGGAACATGGCAGCATGCATGGCGCTGGAGCATGCAACTCTAAACCTCGTTTATTGGGGTTGTATCTGTCTGTCTGTAGATCATCTGTAGACCTATGATCTGTCATTATATATCTTTGTATGTCTGAGCTGTCCTGACAGTCTGCATAAAGCATCGTAACATTCACACATCTTCCTGCCACTGGACAGAGAGCCCACTGGGACCTGAGCTGAGAGGCAGCTGTGACTCTCAGGCCCTGTTCTCACAGCATATTGCTTAGGGCTTGTTAGAATGTGAGCCAATCCTTTTACTTTTAGGCCAAGCCTGGGCTGTGTGAAGCTAAGAATTGAAGAAAGGGATAGCTCACTCCCTAGTAGCTGTTACCACGGTGTCTTGTTATAGTTTAGTTACTTTCTACTGGAGATCAGCTTCACAGGGAGGTGGAAGATAGGACAGGCACATTCATATAGGTGTGTGGGGGGTAGGCAGACAGTGATAGAACAAACAGATGACAGAAACAGAGGCATAAAGGAACAGTAGATAGTAAGTGTTACCTTCACCCTGAACCGTATGGGCTATTGAGAAGAGGCTGACAGGAGCCACAGAGAACAGGAAATCTAGGAGACGTTGGCTCCCTGTTTCCTACAAGGTCAAATTCAGCCTGTTCTCACCTTTCCCTTTCTGATGATGCCCCTGCCTCAGATCTTGGGTATCAGGTTTAACTGTGATATGGGTAGGACAGGCCCAGATGTGGAAGGAGTGGTATATAAAATGGAGTTTATCCGTTAAATTAAAAAAAAACCAGTGTGTGTGTGTGTATGTGTGTGTGCACATGCATGCATGTGCATGCAGGAACGCACGCCATAGCATGTGAGTAGAGGCCAGAAGACACCTATAGAATTGTTTCTCTTCTTCTACCATGTGCGTTACAGGGACAGAACTTAAGTCTTCGGACTCGGGGGAAAGGGCCTTTACCTGCTGAGCCCTTTGTCTGGCCTTGTAGAATTTACTTTAGCAACTCTCTTTTCTGTGGTGGACTGTGATTTCTTGATGTTGATAATTCTAGGAAATTCCTTGAGTAACATTTGACAAATCCTCCTAGAAGCAGTCTGTGCTGGTGGAGCTGCAGGGACATCAAGGCTCAGTGACAGCTGTGGAGTTCTGTCCCTGGCAAGCACACATCCTCATCTCAGTGTCTGAAGACAGAACCTTTAAGGTGGGCAGCAGGGACACTGTGGACATGGGGATGCTGTGGACATAGGATGCTGTTGACACGGGGATGCTATGGACATAGGGATGCTGTGGACATAGGGACTCTGTGGACATAGGGACTCTGTGGACATAAGGACTCTGTGGACATAAGGACCCTGTGGACATAGGGATGCTGTGGACATAGGGACTCTGTGGACATAAGGACTCTGTGGACATAAGGACTCTGTGGACATAGGGATGCTGTGGACATATGGACTCTGTGGACATAGGGATGCTGTGGACATAGGGTCGCTTTGGACATAGGGATGCTGTGGACATAAGGACTCTGTGGACATAGGGATGCTGTGGACATAGGGTCTCTGTGGACATAGGGATGCTGTGGACATATGGTCTCTTTGGACATAGGGATGCTGTGGACATATGGTCTCTGTGGACATAGGGATGCTGTGGACATATGGACTCTGTGGACATAGGGATGCTGTGGACATAGGGTCGCTGTGGACATGGGGATTTTGTTGATGACACTGATGTTGGATTGCCACTGCTGTGCAAGTTTTTTTTTCTTGTAACACAAGCATGACGGAGCTGAAGACAAGATGACCCAGTGGTTTAAGGCTCCACTGTTCAGGACTCTGCTCTCAGCACCCACACAGTGGTGCACAACAGTCTGGGATTCTGATTCTGGGAGAAACAATGTTTTATCTGGCCTCCATGTACACTGCACACCTGTGGTACACATACTAGTGTGCAAGCCAAGCTCTCATACTCACAGAATAGAAACGACTGCAGTTAAAGCGCATCCCTGAGGAGGCTGTTTCCTCACCCACACGAAAGCGCAGTTTTGATGCTCTTGTTGGGCTGGGTACCCCTTCATGCACTTCCTAGACCTCCAGCAATTAGAGACTGGACAACTGTGGGGACTTTCTCACATTTAAATAAAGAGGGGGCAGTGTTTCCAAATGACCAGCAGCTGAGGACCCAGTGTCCCCAGTGAGGATTCAGTAAGAAGTAAACTGAGAAAAAAACAAAGCAAAATGCTGGTTCACTTCTGAGCAGCCCCAAGTTAGCTATTGTAACTGTGGTTTTACTGTCAAAGGGTGGACATTTATCACTGTCCTAAAAGCTAAAAGTCACACATGTGTATCAAACCACAGAAGTTATGAAATTCATACTATTGTCATTTAAAAATACCCATCTGATAAGACCCAGTGGGTCCCGACTTCCCCCGGGAGTCAGCAACAGTTGGGGCAGAAAGCCATACTTGGGTAAACTATGTTGCACTCAATTTTATATTTCAGAGAGATACAGTGGGACCTCTTGTTTCACTGGTGATCATGAGAATGAAGAGAGTTGGTATTTTGGAATGTCCTCGGAGGTGTGGCCACCATAGAAGGGATAACAAACACGTGTGACTGTCATGGTTAGAATGTAGTCCTGTGGCTGAGCACCCTCTACATGTGGGGCATAGACCCAGGGACATGCTGGCCCTTCTTCACCGAGCTTCCAATGAAGTACTGATTATGTACCCAGGGCTTGCTCTTTTTTTTTCTTCTTATTAAAATTGATTTTATTGAGCTATAAATTTTTCTCTGGTCCCCTCCCTTCCTCTTGCCTCCTCTTTTACCCTCTCCCAAGATTCCCATGCTCCCAATTTACTCAGGAGATCTTGTCTTTTTCTAATCCCCATGTAGATTAGATCCATGTATGTCTCCCTTAGGGTCCTCTTTGTTGTCTAGGTTCTCTGAAGTTGTGAATTGTAGACTGGTTTTCTTTGCTTTATGTCTAAAAGCCACTTATGAGTGAGCCCATGTGATGTTTGCTGTCTCTTAGGTGTGTCTTCAGTCCTCCCAGATCCACAGGTAGTCGTCTTTGGAGTTAGGGTGTTTTCTGAAGTCTTGGGCTTTAATAGTGCAGTGATTCATCCACTATGTGAATTTTAATTCTTTAATTATTATTTGTACAGATTAATTTTTAATTGCTTAAAAGTTAGTCTATGGTTTAGCAATATTAACACCGTTTTATGTCTCTTAAAGAAATGTCTTTCATTTAAAGGTCTGGGACTATTGTGTGGGATCCTCGATATACAACTCATCCATTTTAACAGGTAAATCAAAGACTCTTAAGTTCTAGCCAAGCAGGCTGTGTGAACAAACTGTCCTGGTGTGACTGTCACCCCAGAGTAGGGGGCGACAGCTGGAATCACCGGCCTCGTCTGTATGCAGCCATCAATTCTGACTCCTGTTCACAGTTACACACACACACGCACACACCCACTGTGTCTGGGCTTCTGTCTCAGGTAAATGTGTGGAGTAGGTTAGCTCTCAGATTAAGTGCCTAAGATAGGGTCCCTGTTGTCCTGTGGAGAGGCCCAGAGCTGGCAGAGTTTGGAGGGAGACCTCTCTCACCAGTGACCAAGAGGACTGGGCAGCGTGCAAGTCATTGGTTAGCTTGGATGCTTTTGTCCATCCTGTGAATTCTAGGATAATTGTTTCTTTCATCAAATTGTCTTTTTTGTGGGCAATGGAACTAACACCTTGTACAGAGGAGTGACCAGTTTCTGTGGTCTGGCTCTCTGGGGTCCTGAGGCGTTGTGTGTGAGCCAGGGGAATGTTTCACTCGGGTCCCTGTTTCCTCCCTGCGTCTCATGGGTTGATTCTGGGGTTCTTCCCATGGCCCTCCATGTATGCATCAGTGTTGTGGGAGAGCAGGATGGCTGATGTTGGGACCATTCCTTCCTTTGAGATGGCTCATGAGAATGCCACTTACGGAAAACAGATGGCTTGGTGGCCTGCTGGAGCTACTGTTGTAGTTTTCCAAGATCGAGCATTTTTAGGTCAATTACCCACATAAAGAATATTGTGTTCTGACAGCCTGGAGTTTTCCGCCAAGCTTGGGCATGAAGTGCATTTTCTGTAAGCTTGTTGGGTTTTCCTGAACATAATCTTGTAGAACATGTTGATTGAGGAACACAATTGCAGACTGTTATGGACTCACCATGAATGCCATTTATAGCTTAGTTAGGACACACAGTGTTTCCTAACCTCTGTTTATCTAGTTGTTCCAAATTCTTGATACTTTAGACTACATTCTAAATAAAATTAAATCTCAGGGAGTTCTTTTGCTTATTTGTTTTTGTATGGCATCTGTTTAACTGTTTTTATTGCCAAGTCTATGATTTCATTGTTTTTAGCCTACAGGAACCGCTCTGCCCTGTTTAAAATGCTGGCTGAGCTGTACTTCCTCCTTCCTGGCTACCAACAGTTGCTCTAGACCTGCTCAGTGTGGGCAGATGAGGAGGGGTAACCAGGATGTACCAGCAGTCAGCTGGAGCTCATGCCCACTGCTTTTTTTTTTTTAAGTGAATCTATTTATTTGTTTTTTTAATTTTACATCCTGGCTGCCATATACCCCACCATTCTTATTTGGGACAGCATTCCTTTCTTCTTTCTTGCTCACGAATGTTTCCAAATTTCTGTTCATTTATAATTTTGCCTCCTGGTATGAAGATTTAGAGTAGTCAGCTGGAAGATGCACTGTCCATACTGAATGCCCTGTGTTCCCCTCAGCTTACCCTCTCCTGAGTTTGCTTCTCTGTGAAGAAAACAGACAGCTGGTCACTGGCAGTGCGGATGGCCAGGTGAGACTTGTGCCAGGCCTCTGCTTTGTGTTGTCTCCTGCAGTGTTAGGACTTTGTCCTCCTGTGCACCTCAGCACTGGGGTGGGGTTGGGAGGCCGTGGGTCTGCAGCACTGACCTCGATCTGCACGTTTTAACAATGCTATGCAGTACCTGAATGCAGCAAACATTAGAATTACTTGCTCAGCCATTAGCATCAGATGACTTTGAAACTGAAGATATTTATTTTAAAAAATTTAATGTAAACACTTTAGGCTTATTTTATAAAGACACTCGATATAAATATGATGAAGTCGTACATTCGAAAGGTAAAATAGTTTATTAGTTTGTTTTCTTCTTCATAAGTTCAGCTGTCATCATTGTGTGTGCTAGGGCCAGTAAGATGGTAGAAGTACTCGTGGCTAGAGAGAAGTACTCGTGGTAGAAGTGCTGTGTAGGTGTTAGTGATCTTGGGGCCCTATAGGTGACTCTGAATCACAGCTATGTCTGACCTAAGGTTCTGGACAAACTTCCCCCTGTAACCACCTGCTTAGAAGCTGTACAACTTTCAAAGAGGGGCTAAAAACAATATTCAGGGCAGCCCAAGTGTCTAGGAGAACCCAGGAGCATATCTGATGCGGCTTGTCTGCTCTGCCCCACTTTCCTTTGGATTTTACAGTAAATATCAATTCTTGAAAGAGATCTGTGTCTACATATTTTGTTTTTGTAGCTGTGGATATTTAGTTTGTTGGAGAGTCACCACTATCGCTGTGTGGCACATGTGGACCTGAGGAAGAAAAGTGAGACTTTCTCCACTCGAAGAATGATGGCCAGGCAGGGCAGCCTTCCAGGTGTGCGTCTTGTGCCCTGCAGGCCTCCTGCATGGAGGCAGCATTTAGAATCACTGGGATCTCCGTGGACAGGGTGGGAAGTCCTGACTTCTGACACCACTGAGCCCCATAGGTTCTGTGCCCTGGGCTGGAGGCTACATCACAGATCACTGTGTGGAGTCCAAGGACTCAGAGAACGGGAGAACACAAACCCTTGGTTGTCATCACAGCAGGGACTCCAGAGGGCAGCCCTGCAGCAACTGAATGGTGCATCTGGGCAAACTGGTGCCTTGTCCCCAGGTTGCTGCTTCATCGTTCCCATTTCAAATGCTGACCCATGTCCTCCTTCAGGTCTCAGGCCCTGCCTTGACCTGCATCCTTGCCCACTCCCCTACGCTCCTCCCCGGCTCTGCTGTCCAAGCTTGCCCCAGCTTGTCCACACCTGTCTCCTCCACGCCTCCCGTGCTGCTCTAGGTCCCTGACGGGGCTGGCGCTGACTTGGGGAGTGACGGCGTCTTTTCTCAGGGAGGCTGAGAGCTGTTATGGTGTGTGTACTGGCTCCCTTGCCACTCTCCTGCCCTATATATTTGTTCCTACACATAGTCACTCCTCCCTTAGTTTATATTTTGTGTATGGCTTTAAATGATTTTTTAAATTAGGCCAGGAATTATTGTCCTATATCTCTCTTTCTCTTAAAATATCAAGCCATGACTTTTGTCACTTTTTTTTTATAAGCAGTTGCTCATTCTTTACTGCAGCCCAGATCCATTTTAGGAATGGTGGCCCTGACCTCTGCAATGGCCGTCTCCTTCCCCACCCCTTATAGAATCAATAAGGGTTCCCTTTAGATTTTTAGCTTTATTTTTCTTAGTGCTCAAAGTCTAAATGCCTTTTTGATCCACGATTCATTCTGTAACATGCATTTCTGAAGGGTCTATTAGCTGACCGCTGAGAACTTTGTTGTTAGGTAATGAATAATAACTCTGTTCCCTAGAAGACAGTCGGTACCACTCCACACCTGAGGTGGATAAAAGGGAAGAAGCTGAAGCCACATTCCCTGTCCTGAGCCTGGCACACTGTGACCTCTGCCTGCCAGACACCCAGAATGGAGCGTGCGTATGACTAACGGGGCCAAAGCCGTAGGTCACTAACTTTCTTAAGTGGGCCTAAGTTCAGATTTGTGAATGGTTAAAGGAAACAAGTGTTGTGTCTCTTATTGTTACTGATTGTAATTGTTCCAAAAATCACATATTTTGTCTGAGATTTAGTAAACTTTGCCGGTTTTATTTGAGAGATAACTTTTCTAAGCAGATGCAGGCAGATAGAGCCTCTGGAGCAGGACTTTTTCTTGGGTGTGACACATCAGTCTTCGCCCACTCTGTCCTCCCAGGTGTTCCACTCTAAAACTGATCCCAAGTGAGTTTGACTCAGTTATTTCTGAGCATGGTAGGAATATTATGGATTCTTGGGAACACAAGGAAGCATTGTCTAAGAGCCTGCCTCTTCCCCCGAGAAAGCTCAGCAGCTCTAGCATCTGCAAATTCAGCTCTAGATGGGAGGGATTGTTTACAAGCGAGGAGCGCTCATTTCACTGCCTGGGCCCTGGGAATGGAGGACTCCCTCCTAGTCCATGCTATGCTGGCAAAACAGAGGCTGGAGGAGGGCTGGGTCCTGCCCTGAGTCACAGGACTTGTGTCCTTCCACAGAGTACTGAGAGTTCCTGCAGGCAAAGCCAGGGCCACACTACTGAACCCTGTCCACCTTGATTTGTCAGGTGATGTGGGAAGTGCTGGATTGTGTTCTGTGGGTCTGAGGAGGGGGTGCCTGCTGCCTGCTCTAGTGAGAGGGCTCCAGCTGACTAGTGTTGGGAGGGGTAGAATGAAGGGTCAGCCACTGCAGATGGGAGGGGACAGTTAGTGCAAACCAAGCTTGAATGAGGCTGATTGATAAAAAACACGCATGTTTGCTTTCTGATGAGCTCTGCCACTGTGGACCAGAGCTCCTCTCTGAGCTTATCTTTATTTTCACAAACGGAACTGGCAGCATCTTGGAGACATTGTGCTGCTGAAGGGTCAACACGCAGCAGGTGAGAGAGTCTGGAGAAGAGGTGTGGTGTTAGTGGAGCTGCACACACACAGGGGACTTTTCTGAGGGCCAGAGCTTAGTTCTTCATTTTATTTTTCTATCTCCTGCTTGTTCCTACTCTGCTCTTTTTCTTTTCTGTTCTTCTTCCTTGTCGTCATCCTTTCTCTTCCCTACGTTCTCGTCCTCCATCTTCCCTATGTTCTCCTCCTTCCTCCCTACGTTCTCCTCCATCTTCCCTACATTATCCTCCTCCATCTTCCCTACATTCTCCTCCTCCATCCTCCCTACATTCTCCTCCTCCATCCTCCCTACATTCTCCTCCTCCATCCTCCCTACATTCTCCTCCATCCTCCCTACATTCTCCTCCTCCATCCTCCCTACATTCTCCTCCTCCATCTTCCCTACATTCTCCTCCTCCATCCTCCCTACGTTCTCCTCCATCCTCCCTACATTCTCCTCCTCCATCCTCCCTACATTCTCCTCCTCCATCTTCCCTATGTTCTCCTCCTCCATCCTCCCTACATTCTCCTCCATCTTCCCTACGTTGTCCTTCTCCATCTTCCTTGTAGTTCTCTTCCTAATGTCTTCCCTGATTTTGCTTCTACATTTTTCTTCTACCTCTCTTACTTTTTCTACCCCTTTTATACCTCCTAAGACAATAATTTTCATGTAAGAAAAGATAACCTCACAACCATAAGTTATATATTTTCCAAAAACAAATTAAAATCTTTACACAGGAAGAAATTATATTATGATCACAAGTTACATGTCTTTCTTAGAAGCCCACAAGGAATTAAACATTTTTCTTTGTTTTAATTTTCCCACTATAACATCTTCACCCCAAATCTGTACTTCTTTTATAATTGGTTAACAAAGTTTTAAGCAGGCCAGGTACATGTCAGCAGTTCCTTTGTTCTGGTGGGTAGCGGTTTGCGGTTTCAGTGTCGCAGATTCCTCTTCTTAGTTCTAGTCTAGAGAAACTTTAGAGTGCTCAACTAACTGTCTATTTTTCTCTACACACAATAAGTCATTTAATTTCCTTTCACAACTTTGTTTTTTCAAGGTGCATACCAGGGCCTGTGATTAATTCTGTAAGGTACATGATCTAGGAACTCAGGCCTTTCCTTGAGTGTGGGGACATAATTGATTTATTTGATTATCACCCTGTTTTTACTACAGGCAGAATTCATGGGTCTATTAAATGCATGAAACTTCCTTGTTCTTATTTTCCATCTTCTGCAAATATCACTTCCAACAAAGGGTAGCTAACTTCTAGCCTATTTTTATGTTTTTTTGTATCTCTTATTGGAGCAATTTACAGAATTACCTAAGCCATTTCCCTAATTGTCTTTACCAACTGTCGTAACCACCTGAATCTGTTAGATTAACTCAGAAAATCCAGTTAAATCATAGGTCTAACTAATCATCATTGCTCTTAGAAAAATCATCTTCATTATGATTTTCAAGTTAATTGTGCAGTGAGGAGTGGGATTTTCCCAGGAAACAATCACACTACACAAGATACAGTAGGATTCCTTCACATAGCAATCACACCATGCCAAATACACCAGGAACACAGCAGCAGCAAGCAGGAGGAGCGCGGCAGAAGCAGAGGGCGTTCTGGACACAACCTTTCCAGGCTCTGCCCCTTCGAGGTGGACCCAGAGCAGCTTTGTTATCCTCTGGGCTGTGTTCCGTAAGCTCCATTGATGCCCGTGGCTCCTCTGACATGGCCACTGGCAGCGCAGATCTGAGCACTTGCCTAGATTCTCACATCGGCAGGCTTTTGGTAACCTTGCCACCGATTGCTCTTGACAACTCAGGAGAAGGTATAAACCACAGTTGTCAGAACTGAGCCATGGCCGTGCTCTCACTCTTGGGGATACTTGTGTCCAATAGACAGGGGTGGCTGCTTTGAGACTAAGCACCTTTCCCGAGTGTGACCAGCTGGAGACAGCGTTTGCGTTAGTCACTTGGATGTGTGTCCGTCCTCACCGTATGGAGGACCAGGAATGCCGGGGGATGCTGTGGCACTAACCTGAAGGAAGACTGTTTGTTTCTTTCTAAGATTAGTTTTTCCTCTGAGTGCACCAAATGCCTGTGGATTGGAAGCTCGACAGCTTTATTCGTATTTAACCCGGCAAGCGTTGAATTAGAAGCTGCTTTACGTTTCAAGGGTGAGATCTTGAACTCAGTAATCTTTGATGTTAGTCTCTTATAACTTCATTTTCTTAAAAAAGATTGATGGGAAGTACAAGTTTAGGGTAGAAAGTCTGAGCATTTGAATTTGAGGATAAGTTTATCAGTGGCCACACGTGGCCACCTACTCAGACTGTCACTAAGCTCCATGCCGCAGAATCTGAAGGACAGAGCCTCAGGCATGGACCACAGGCTCCTACGGGTTCTTTCCCCGCCGTGTTCTTCTGTCAGTACTGCTGGCAATACTGCAGTTCACTCTGAACACTTGGCGTTGGTCCAGACAACCTACAGGAGGAGCTGTCCTCTCTAGCCCTGGGATAAAGACTTCCCCATGTGTACCCACACTTCCTCCTGCCCAGAAGCCCCAGGCTCTTGTGTTCCTCAGTTCTCTTGCGTCTGTTCTTTAGATTCTGGGGCTTGCCTGCTGTTTGTGGCGAGCAGGGTTGCTGCTTGGTCCTTTCCCACAGGTCTGTTCTCCATAACACCCCACTCTCGTTAGGTACTCTAATCTCCTGCTTCTCTATACCTTGGCTGGATAAATGTATGTTCAGCACAAAATTCCCCTTCCCCTAGGCTGTCTTTGCTTCTGGTCCCAGAGGTTCAGTGTCCCTGTCATTTGTCATTTGTAATTCCTCTCGGCTGCGCCAGCATTCAAAGCCTTACTCCCTTGCATGCTTGTGCTCTGGCCTGTGTCTGGATTCCTTCCTAGCTGACTATGTGGAAAAGAGCCCCTCTCTTTCCACCTTGTATCCCCGTCTGTGAACCTCTGTCCAGGCACACACCTTACAGCACATGAACACTTATGTGGTAGTTGTAGCTAGGCTGAACAAATGAGCCAGCTATTTACCTTCATTTATTCACCTCTCAAATGTTTGTTTTGATGAAAATTAAGACTTTCAGAGCCTGAGTGTCCAAGTCGCTGGGTCCTGTGCAGTGATGAGTGAGACCATGAGCCCCGAGGTGAGTGGTGAGGCCTGTGCAGGGGGTGGTTCTGTCTGACACACTTCTCTGTGCACACATGTACCTCTTCATTGTGACAACAGTCTTGGTGGTGTTTCATATGTGAAATTATGACTCACTACACGTGGATCTCCTGTTTGTAAATGGGAAGCAGATCGCACTGTGAAAGCTGTGTTTGCGACTGGAGAGTTGGGGTGCCCCACGGGCCCCCAGCCCAGCCGTGCTGCTCACTTTCTGAGTGTCCCACAGGCACTGTGCGTACTTTCATCTATGTTTGGAAACAAGATCGCTGTGCTGGACGTCAGCCTGGCTGCCCTGCTGAGCTCCCAGAGGAGCCCCGGTGCCGGGAGAGTGCTTTCCGTGCTGCCAAGGTACAGTCTTTCTCAGACTGCAGTTACGTGCTGCTCACCGCCCGGCTGCAGTTTAGATCTTTTTCATGTGAAGAAATACTGGAACATTGGCGGCGCTCAGCAAACTAATGCTCTCTGAAAGGACAAATGTTTTATGCCATGATTTTTTTTTTACTCGAACCTAAATGCTTCATAGTTTAACATAAAATGCTAGTTTATTTCAAAGTAGAATGTAAATAATAAAATAGCACTTTCATTAAAGCATATCAATATTTTTCTCATAAAGATAAGGACCTTGATAGTTTTAATTTCCAAATATTGTAAGTCTACATTTGAATGAGATAATCTTACATTGTTCTTAAAAATGTATGTTGCATTGAAACAGTTCTGTCATATTACTGCTCTCACCATGTGACTGTTCTTATTTTAGCTCCTGTGTCCTACCAACCTCTCCACTGTATTTTGGAGTTGTTAAGGAAAGCCTTCCTAAGCCTGCCAATAGCAAACGACATGGTTAGTACAGCACGCTCTGAAACACGCGTGCGTGGCAGCCATCTCCCCTGCAGCTCTGAAACACGTGTGTGTTGCAGCCATCTCCCCTGCAGCTCTGAAACACACGGGCGTTGCAGCCATCTCCCCTGCAGCTCTGAAACACGCGTGCGTTGCAGCCATCTCCCGTGCAGTCAGCATTGCTGCATCACTTTGGGACTTGAATTTGCCAAAAGATAAATCGATACGGGATGTCCTTCTGTATATGTGCTGCTTTTGTTTGTTGATTAGTAAAGCGGTTTGGGCTAATGGCTGAGCAGAGTAAAGCCAGGTGGGAAATCACAACAGACACACAGAGAGAGAGAGAGAGACAGAGAGAGAGAGAGAGAGAGAGAGAGAGAGAGAGAGAGAGAGAGAGAGAGAGAAAGAGAGAGAGAGAGAGAGAGAGAGAGAGGGCAGAGTCGAGGAGACACCATGTAGCTGCTGAAGGAGAAAGATGATAAAATCTTACCAGTAGGCCACAGCCTCATGGTGATACATAGACGAATAGAAATGGGTTAATTTAAGATGTAAGAGTTAGCTAGAGATATGCCTGAGCCATCAGCCAAGCAGTGTTGTAATTAATAGAGTTTCTGTGTGATTGTTCAGGTCTGGGTGGCCAGAACATGAATGAAGGTCTCCGCTTACAGTAAATCCTGTGTGGCTTCTATGTCTCTCAGATTTACTGTACATTGTCTTTGATTCCACACCTCCCCCCCTGAGTTGGGCATAATTCATAGGAACTCCAGGGCCTGTCTCAATTGTGATGTGATTCCTTGGGAGACTTGCAGTGGTGCCTCTGCTGGACCCCGAGTAGTTGCACAGTGTATTAGCATATCATGCACACTTCAGTCTATGTTTCTGAGACATCTGCCAGAATCACATCCTGTCACAACTAGAAATGGGTTCTTGTATTAGCAAGGCCAAAATACAATTTTATTGGTTATTAAAAAATAGGTTTTGATTGGTTTGTTGTAAACTGTAGCCAACTAGTCCTCATGTTGATTTTTTCAAAATATAGTTTAAAATTAGTTTTCATGTTAGAAGGCAGAATTCATTGTGTCCCAGTTTTCTGTATTGTAGGAATCATTGCTGACTGATGCTCCCTGTTTTCCTTCGTTTTCCAGTGTAAACTCACAGTCCCTTAAAGTCTCCTGATTGACGTAGTTAAGAGGATTAAGCCCCTTCCAGTCAGATCCGTTCTGTATAGATGCCACATCTACATGTTTCCTGCCTTTTACCCCCAGGCTACTGGCTTGGCCTCTTCCAGATCTCCAGACCTGGTTAGATGAGTCACTAACATCCCTTGTGTTTCTAGGGCCCCTATCAGCTAGGGCATGCACCCCATTCTGAGGAGTAAGTCATTAAACCCTTGAATTTGATCTGTAAGGCGGGCAGCCTGTCCCTGTTTTCACCATGGTTCTTCCTGGTTGTCCCCTCAGTGGAATTCCTGTCAGGTTGAGTCTGTGTGTTGTCCATTTCTGTGTGTTCTTTGAGCAGGGACCCTGTACTGGCCTGTAGTCCAAACACATTTGAAATACATGCTGTTGGCTGGGCATGGTGGCATATGCCCTTAATTCCAGCACTTGGGAAGTAGAGGCATTTGAATCTTTGTGAGTTCAAGGCCAGCCTAGTGTATAAAGTGAGTTCCAAAACAGCCAGGACTGTTACACAGAGAATTTCTATCTCAAAAGCAAGCAAGCAAGCAAGCAAACAAGCAAGCAAGCAAATAGAAACAAGAAAGAAAATAAGTGCACGGTGTCACTCGTGGTACGGTTTAATATATTTTCCATTGCTTTCTTGCACCCTTTGTCTCCATGATGAATTTTTGGCTGTTTTTTCTTTGGCTTCTGTATGGAGCCTGCATTTCATTAGGTCAGAAGGTCATTTTGTTAGAATCTTCCTGGTTTGGGGAGTCTAGGTTCTTTTTTTTCTAGGGCAGTGAAATTGCGATGTTAAATGTTTGCTGCTTCTTTTATATCCTGGCATATAGCTGTGAGGAGTGTCACAGAGGACAGGCCCCTGGTTTTCCACAATAAAATCAGGTCATCTGGTTATACATCGGCACCGCAGTAAGTACCAACCATCACGCCTCTTGTGTCAGTGGCAGAACTGACTGCAAGAATACCACTGAGATGGTGTTCTGTGGACAGGGCGCAGGAGGAAAATGTGAGCTAGACCCCAGAGTACACAGTCACCATAAGGGTGGCAGCCGAGCAGCCAGCTCTTGTTAAATGCCCACTGGCTGTTGGTCTCGGCTCAGCTTCGTGTGCTGCTGTCGGACCATAAAGTTGGTTGTAGTGAGTGGGAAGCTGGAGGGTGGAAAGTGGATAAAGGTGGTGCGTGACCTCATCATAACCTGACTAAACATCTTCAACTTTTTGTGAGCCCAGTCTCTCTGAAATTTGTAGCCTCTTCTCTCTCTCTTTTATTTTTTCTCCCTCTCTCTCTCTCTCTCTCTCTCTCTCTCTCTCTCTCTCTCTCTCTCTCTCTCTCTCTCTCTCTCTCTCTCTCTCCCATGGACTCCATGCACTTAGAGCACGTGACAGGGTTTTGGTCTCTGTCATCTCCCTGGTGGTGTTCTTACCTTCATCCATGCCCACCCACTCACCTCAGCCTTGAGACCCCACTCAGACCTCTCCAAGGCCTCTGACCTCAGTCATCCTGTGTGTAACTGCAGCTCTAGCGCCCCTCAGCCCTCAGTATCTTACCGTGCCTTTTCTTTCCCCAATGGCAAGAGCTGTGGGTGCTGTTTACCTGTCTATTTTTTTAATAATTTATTTAACTTTATTTTATGTGCATGGGTGTGAAGTGTCAGATCCCTTGCAACTGGATCTTCAGACAGTTGTGAGCTGCCATGTGGGTGCTAGGAATTGAACCCGGGAAGAGCAGTCAGTGCTCTTAACCACTGAGCCATCACTCCAGCCCCCTACCTGTCTATTTTGTAGACCTGTGCTTGGGGCAGTGCCTGGCTCATTAAACTCTTGATTAAGACACAGATAAACAGATGGCAGGCAGATAAAAGGAGGGATGGATGGGTAGAGAGATGGGTAGAAGGAGGGAGAGATCACAGATGGAGAGAAAGGTGAATAGATAGAAGGGTGAGTTAGTCACAGGTGTGTCCCAACTGTGGCCCACTGGCCACATAAGCTACAAGATAGCTATGACCGCAGCCAACATAAAACAATATGAGATTTTTGTGTGTTAAGTTTTAAAATTTGATTAAATAAAAGTAGTTTTGAGCATGAACTTCAGAGATGACAGTATGATCCAGAGAACATACCCCTGAATGAATGTTGGCAGATGGATGGATTGGAAATTCATACAGTGGAAGAACAAAGCAGCATTTTAATCTGAGAGCTTAAATGTGGGTTCGGAGGATCCACACTGGGTGATATGGGAGGCTGTGGTGGTCCTGTTGCTGCCCTGGAACGTTGAGCTGAAAGCATTAGATAGGGTCCCTGAAGAGGAGGTGCTGCACTGTGGCATCTCTGGGTCAGGATGCGTGACTGCTCTTGGATTCAAGAACAGAAGGCAGCTGAGAAAAATTATGTAAGTTTGTACATGTTTAATTTTTCCTTATAAATGTAAATAATTGTTAAGAGTGATATATGCATATGTATATGTGTTTTCCTCCCAGTGGGACTATGTTTTCCCCAAAGACCAACATCAAGCATATTAACAAAAGAACTTCCAAATGCAAGAACAGTCACAAGTGGTATGTAATTGAGTGCGTGCATTATATAAATCTGAACAACTTAGACACACTCTTAAAGTGCTCTCTTGATTTTTAAACAGAAATATGACCATATATGCATAAAAACAAGTACAAATACATCACTGACATGCATCCTTCAAACAAAATATGGTTGTCTCATTTTAGTAAACCTTTGGGTATTCTGCTCTTTTTATTATGTTGCTAGTTTTGAAATAGTGAGTTTTTGCTAAAATGCAGTTGTAGGAGAGTATTGTGTCTGTTGGCTGACCACGCCTGAGACACATTTTTGGTCTCCGTAGTGACAGAGGGGCGGTTGCAGAGCCAAAGTTGCTTCTCAGTGTTCATGGCTGGTTCATTGACCTGGACGTGCTGTAAACACAACCTGAATGCACAAGGAGGGTTTGGGGCCTTGGGCGTGCTTCAGGCAGAACTGTGTGTGACATATAATGAACGTATACTATAGTTGATGAAAAAGAGATCATGGACTGCCTAATGTAAGATTCATCTTCAGATAGCCCACGCCTACATTTGAACAGTGAGTGTTTTTACAGAAATGCTTACTAGAACATGGAGTGCTTGTGATAGACTTGGATCAGTTGCACCTATTACCGGGGCTTAGCGTGATGCTTTAATGCATATGTACAGTGTTCCTTGATGAGACCGACCTCACTGTATCACTTTCCTGGTCTCTAGAATCATCACTAGTCTATGTCCAGGTCAACTTCAAAATATGAGCGAGAACGTATGATATTTGAGGTTCTGCATTTGGTGTATCTTACTCAACACCTTTCACTTCCCATGCAGTTTGCTACAAATGGCAGAGTGTTATTTCTTAATGGCTGGATTTCCTTTTATAAGATTTATTTTAATTTTAGTGTATATGTCTGTGAATGCATGTGTGTGTCCACAGAGGCCAGCAGAGGGCGTCACACCCATGCCGTTGAAGTCACAGGCCAATGTGAGGGGCCGCATGTGTGTGTTGTCAACTGCTGAGCCCATGTCTGAATACTTTTTCATGGTGGATATATACCACATTTCTTTTCATTCCTGTATTGATCAACCTAGGTTGATCTGTATCTTAGCTGCATGAACACAGACTTAGCCTCAGCTTAAGCCTCAGTGAACACAGACAAGCAAGGAGCCTCCTTGGTAGTGATGTTATTTCCTCTGAGTCTGTGCTCAGGAGTAAGATGGATCATATGGTAGTTTTCATTTTAGTTTTATGAGGCATCTCCCTTAGTGTGTTCCGTGGCAGCTGTTGTAATTCACATCTCCTCAACAGTGGGTCAAGGGTTTCTCTGCCTTTACATCCTGGCCAGCATTTGTTATTTACTTTTTGTTTTCTTGGATGGTAGTCTTGGGTGTAGTGACACTGTAAACCACCTCAAGCTGTATTTTCCTGTCGTCGGGACACTGAGTCTCTATGTACTTACTGGTCATTGCATTCCTTTGGGGAGTCTATGTTCAGAGCACTTCTTCAGGGGTTTGATATTCTGGATGGAATTGAGCCGTGCTTATTGGCATTTTTCTTAAACATTATTTTTTCTTTTTTTACCTTTCCTGTCCATTTCTACTAGCTTCCTCATCAGTAGGTGACCATGTACCCATAGCATAAGGTGTCTGATCCCATAGAGTACTTACTTGGTGTTCCCAGTGATGCTGGGCCCCGTGAGTGACCTGAACCCCGTGCTCCTCATGGCATTTTCTCCTATACGGAGCCCTGTTCACCCACTGGGCTGTTTTTTTCTCTGACGACTCTGTTTTATACACTGAGCAAGCCACTTCTTATACAGTTTTGGCTCTTGTGGGGAGAGGAAGCAAGCAGGCATGGTTCTGGAAGGGCCCTGAGGTTTAAGAATGGAATCTCCCCAGAAAGCAGTCTCCAGATGCCGACAGGTGTGGGGAAGGAAGAGCGATGCTCATTTCCTGGAGGCATCACCAGCTCCTACTCAACACGAATGTATAAACAATAGCCTGACCTTCAGAATAGCATCCAGGCAACCAGACAGACCCCTCCAAGGTGACTGATTCTGTCATAACCATGTAGGCAGGCAAGCTCATGTCCCCTTCACAGTGTGAGAACCTAGAAGGGAGAGGATGCCTGGATCAAGATGCTGGTTGAGGAAAGTGGGTCTTCATGGCTCAGTGAGTCCTTAGACACAGACTGCTGAGAGCCTCGCAAACTCTGCTCATTGGAGCCCTGCATGTCTCTACTTAGGGATGCAAAGTGCATTTCTGGCTTAGGGTATTTTCCACTTAGGAGTTTATCAAGCCATGACTGTAGTTAGTATTATAATACCAACCCATAGATGTGTGAAACTAGGGGCTTGGAAGATGGCTTCATGGTTAAGAGTGCTTGCTATGCAAACAAGGGTCTGAATTTGAATCCTTAGCACCCACATAAAAGTTTGAAGAATGACATCTGCAGATGACCCCTGGTCTCCTTATGCACATGCCCACATGTGTACCCGCACATGTTTATACTACACACAAACCCACAAAGATATGTTTTTGACAATACACAATATAAATCTGTTTCAAAGAGTTGTTTATGAATGCGACTATAAAAAATTTTATATAGATTTTGAGCTTTAATCATATAAAAGGATATATCTAAGTTGAGCAAAATATACTTAATTTCTAGTTTATTTCTAATTTCCCTTGAGCTTATCTCTTGGTTTTCACTATGACCTTCCTTAAAGTAAGGAATACTCTTTGGAGCATTGCCTACCCAGAAATCTCAGCAGGCAGGTTGCGGTGGCTCGGGAGCCTGTTGCTGTGAGCTGTCTGCAGTACTCAGGTAAGCCTCGGAACCATTTGCCCTTCATACCTGCAGCTGGATTCTGCCCACTGTTGTGGGGTAAATTTGTTTTTGAAGATCTTGGTTATATTGGTCAGGATTCTCTAGAGGAGCAGACCACATAGAATAAAAATAGACATGGGAGTTGAATGACTTGCAGACTGTAGTCCAGCTAGTCCAACAATGTCTGTTTCCTGATGGAAAGGCCAAGAATCCAGTAGTTGTTCAGTGCTTGAATCTGGATCTCAGCTGGTCTTTAGCTGTGTTGGGATCACAGAGAAGTAAGTTCTAATAGCAGTGAAGGAATGCCTCAGCATCAGGATAGATGAATTTGTCAGAAACAGTGAAGGGCAAGTAGGCAAAAAGCAAAAACTTCCTCTTTCACATCATTTTGTGCAGGTTGCCACCAGGTGCAATCCAGACTTAGGGTGGGTCTTCCCACCTCAACTGACCCAGACTTAGGGTGTCTTCCCACCTCAACTGACCCAGACTTAGGGTGGGTATTCCCACCTCAAGTGATGCAATCAAGAAATCCCCCACAGGTGTGCCCAGCTTGGGTTTTAGTTGATTCCAGATGTAGTCGAGTTGACAATGAAGATAAGTCATCACATTGGGACTGATTTTCATAAGCAGTGGTTGGCTCTAGAGTGAGGTGAGGCTCCAATTGTACTTGACGAGGGCCATCACAGGACACTTCTGTCCTTCAGTGCGGCCACGACGATACGCATATGTTTTTCATGATGACCCCTTCACACAGGAGCCTGGTTAGATGGCTTTTCATAGACAGAAGCTAGATATGTGACCACAGAGGGATCACAAGGTGGTCTTGACACTGGCCTGTGAGTTGTGTCTCTCCCTCAGGTGGACCCTGTCTCATAGGAAGAGCAGCATTGGCCTCCCCAGTTGCTGCTGTGTTCTCAAATGTACCCCAGCTGCCTTCCTCCCAAAGCTCTTTTATGGGCTCTCACATTTTTCTTGATAGTGTTTGAAGGGGGTGAAGTGGCCGTTGGTGAGTATCTGTGGCTCTGTGAAGGTGCCCTGACCTCCTTCAGAGTGTTTTCGGTGGGTCATCTAGAAGTTATCACAGTTTATCACTCTGGATAAAGGAACTCTTCAGATAATTCTAGACAAACACCTTTTGACGACTGAGTGTGCACTGCTGTCAGTGAGCATCTTTTGACGTTTGCTGTGCTCACTTTATGAAGCTGCACATTTGGTGAAGATCCCCACTTTCACTGTTGTGCTCTTGCAGCCATGTCCCTTTGTGTGTCTTCTGTGAGAGGAAGGCTGCAATGGTCCCAGAGACAGCTACTCTATGAGGGTTCTGCTGAGGGCTGGCTCAAGGCCGGATAGACCTTGGGAGTCTTGTTATGTGTTCTTTCAGATGCTTCACTACCTGAGAAATGACTGTTTATCTTAATGTTTTCCACGTTAACAGTCGGTTGATTAGTGGGATTCCCATGTTACGATTTTATTGAGCTGTTTACTTAATTTTTTTTAAACAGGGGACGGACAGCAGTTGGCCTGTGGCTTAGCTAACCATCTTTCCCTGGTCTTTGATGCTAGCCTTTCTGGAAGACCTGCTGCTTTTTCAGGTATCCTAAATCTTGAGGAATGGGGAGTGAGGGAGGGTGGGTGTTGTGGGCTGTGATTGTCAGCAGCAGACTAAGCTCCAGATTAGTACACAGTGGCTCTTAGTGGGCTTGGGCTTCTGGGACAGATCACTGCCAGCTACTAAACCAGGTATAGCCTGTGTCCTCCCCAGTGCATATGTTCTATAAGACAAAGCAGCAACCTATAGCTGGAGCCCTTGTGGGCGAAAGTTATAGCATTTGAATGGTTTGGGGGCAGTAAAGGAAGTCCACTTTTACAGAGCTATGTTTAATTTAATAAAATATTTTCATTGAAGTGTATTTTGAAATTTGGTAGGATTTATAATGGATTAGTGTGGAAAGTCCTTCTGTATATGTGTTGCTTTTATTGGTTAATGAATAAAGAAGCTCCTTTCAGCAAATGGCTTAGCAGAATATAGCCAGAGAGTAGGGAGAGTCAAGGAGAAGCCATGAAGCCACCACTGGGGACAGACGTACTGAACCTTGACGATAAGACACAGCACTTGGCAATACACAGATTAATAGAAATGGATTAAATTAAGATGTAAGAGCCAGCTAGAAATATGCTTAAGTGATTGACTAAGCAATGATTTAATTAATACAGTTTCTATGTGGTTATTTCCAGGCTGAGCAGCTGGGAACAAAAAAGAGGCCTCTTTACAACAAATTGGTGTGCTAATGTGGCCAACTAAATCCACTTAAAACCTGAGAGAGTGCTACAGCTGAAAATGGCTAAACAGACCTCTGCCCCACCATGTTGGACTGGGCGGAGCCAAAAAGCAAAGCAGCCTTAGTCTTAGAAATGAGGCTTAGCTGCTTAACATTTTAAGAAGCAGTCCTGGACAGAAAATAAAACACAGTATGACCCATTTAGAGGTTTATTTTGTCTGAATCTGTCTTTATTGTGTAGCTGTTATCATTTTCTGACCAGGAGCACCTTTTTTTTTTTTTAATGCTAAGCAAGAACGCTAAGACCAACTCTGTGGCCCTGACTGTTTACTCTTCCCAGTCCAACAAGGTGGAGGCATGTTCACTGCCTCTGTGAGCTACGCTCACCACCCCAGCTCCAGGGATGCAACGGATCTGTGTTGCTATTAAGCAATATGTAACACACAACTCACAGAGTTCATTTAAGTGCTCCACAACAGGACCAGCACGAACCAGGAAGCCGGCTCTTAAAGGAGCTGCTAAAACTGAGTCAGGAAGCCTTCTCTTAAAGGAATCGTGCCTCTGCTTGCTTTTAGCAAACAGAGTCCACCTGAAAAAATGCTGCTACCAAGAAGTCGTGCTTGACTCTGTTCTTTTGTGTCTAGAATTCCTTCCAAACTCTCATGTTTTATGTGGATGTAGTTGCATATTGCATAGTACAAATTGGACGTTAGACACCAGTTTGTAAACAGAGGCTGCTCGTTTGTTTTCTGGCTGCCCACACCCGAATAATCACACAGAAACTATATTAATTACAATACTGTTTGATCGATGTCTCAGGCATATTTTTAGCTAGCTCTTCCATCTCAAATTAACCCAATTCTATCATTCTGTGTATCACCACAAGGCTGTGGCCTACCAGGCCTGGCTATATTCTGTTCTGCCATAGGTCAAAACAGCTTCATTCATTAACCAATAAAAGCAGCACATATACAGAAGGACTTCACACTTCACTCCCCAGATTCCACCCCTCCCTACCCACCAAAGTTTGTGTCCTTTTTTGTTTTTTTAAAACTCATCAATTCTAATTTGTGTTGTTCATAAACTTTTGTATGTCTGGCCTTCCACTGGAGTTTGCATAACCTGCCAGGGCTGCACCCGTAAAGGAAACTGACTCTCCCTCCCCAGCAGCTACCAGTTGCTAATGGCTCTTCATGCCTACCTGTCCTCTCCATTTTGGGATTTTTGTCTGGTCTGAGCTTGCTCAGGTCTTATGAAAGCTCTCATGCCTGCTGTGAGTTCACAGGCGAAGTGCCCTGCTGAGCCTGGAGACAGTTTCCATGTGTCATATACCACCCTGCTCTGTAGCTTTTCTGTTCCTTCTGAAAGGACTCCTGAGCCTTGGGAGGAGGGGGGTGGCAATCACCACCTCTTGAAAAAAGAAGTGAATTTGGTGAAGGTTGAGAGGTGCACTAATTAAGAATATATAAAAAAAAAGGTCACTAGGAGTCAATGTAACATTGTGGGCATTTATCAGAACAATGGCATTATGTTCTCCCCCAGGATCTGAGTAGCCACAGATTCTTAGGAGGCCTGGTATTGGTCCCCAGGTTTGGCTTTCAATTGATGGATGGACCTTAAATGCAATCAGAAAGCAGTTAGTTTATCCCCATGACATGGATGCCCTGTTGTACCAGTGGGCATGTCCTGTCAGGCCCACCATGACTGTGGATTTCAGGGTTTACGGCCAGATAAGATTTATGGTTACTTCTCCTTTGCTAGCATACATAGTGCCTCACAGGACCGTGAAAGCTAGCCATCCTGGAAGAAACTTCCAGATGTTTTTCCCAATCGGTTTCTTTACATTATGTGACTTAAGTAGGTGGTGTCTTTTCAGTAGGGTCTTACCATCAATTTCTGGATATTAAAAGAAAATTGGCAATGGCCTGGAATGTCTGAGGGTCTGTGGGACCCCAGTGGTCACCAGCTCCTGAAGTGGTGACCATTGTGAACATTGGGCCTTTCATTTGTTGGCCTGGTAAGGGCTTGTCACCTCCATTTACAGTCTTCTTATTTGTGTAAGGATATATTTTAAGAAGCTTCTACAGTAGTAGGCTTCCATGTGATTCTTTCAAAGGTCTATACGCGTCATTTCCCCTGTGCTCCTCTGCTCTTCTTTCTCATTAGCCTTCCTTTTCCATCCCTGTCTTTTACCTCTGCATCACTCCAGTCTCTACCTGCTCCCTTGAGAACTCCACCCATGGCCCTTACTAATTTCCTGGCCTCTGTAGATATTCCAGATGACACACGTCTAAAGAATCAGAGAAAACACGACACATCGTGTTTCGGGTCTGGGTTACCTCTCTCAGGATGATTGCTTCCAGCCTCATCCATTTACCTGAGGACTTCATAGTCTCCTTTTTATTAACAGCCGGATAATATTTTATTGTGTAATCATACTGCATTATACATAGATGTCCCGGCTGTTGAATAAATACTGGAGAACATGGATGAGGAAGTATATCTGTAGTAGGATACAGAGTCCTTCGGGTATAGAATGCTGTAGCTAGATAGCATGTGGTAGGTTCAATCCTAGATTTTTGAGAACCTTCCACACAGATTTCCATAGTGCTCACTTTGCGCTCCCGTGAACACACAAAAAAGTGCTCCTTTGCACTTTTGTGAAAAATGCCGGAACTTGACACAAGAGGGCAGCAAAGCTATTTGACATAACTTTTCTGCACGGTAACTTTTTTGCTGTTTTGATGCTATTTCAGAGCGTCATCCTACTTACGATTTTCTTCTGGCTTTCCATTTTTACTTTGGTGGTTTTCTGGCTAGCATGCTCCGGTGATACTGATTTACTGACTGCCCTTTGAATTGCAGTGTGCAGTTCTTGTGCTGAGACGAGCCCGAGTGGGGTCCTGTTAGCTAGATTCTTGTCAGCGTTGCGGTTCCTTACTCTGCAGTTTTCAAAACACAGCACTCTGGGGCGAAATGTGATGGTTCAGCAAGTCTTGGGTTACTGATACCCTGGCGCACGCCTGACACTGCAGCCTCCAGCTCCCCATCTGCCTGTTTCCACTGGTTCTCCCAGGGAAGAACTCATGGTGTTGTCTTTAAGTATCTGGCTCCATGGATCCTCAGGCTCTTAGGTTTCTCAGAACACTCAGGCAGCCGTGGTTTCAAGTTTGCCTCATAGAGACAAGGAAGGCAAAGATGGGGTTAGGAGGCAACATGTTTCTTGTCAGAAAAAGACTGGAGTAGGGACTGCATCACTGAAAGATTATGGGGACTGAAGGGCAGTTCCATCTGCCTGTGGGTTCCCTAGCAGGTGCTGTCCACAGGTGTGCTAGCACCCATGGGTTCCTACAGGTGCTGTCCACAGGTGTACTAGCACCCACGGGTTCCTACAGGTACTGTCCACAGGTGTGCTAGCGCCCATGGGTTCCCTACAGGTGCTATCCACAGGTGTGCTAGCGCCTGTGTAAACCAGCAGCCAAAGCAGCCATTGGCCAGACCAAGTGATGAGAGTATTTCCAATCTTCAGTGAAGTCTTCTATTTTCTCCCTTTGAAACTAAAAGAAAAGACTCTCTCTTTGTGTGTGTGTGTGGGGGGGGGGCTCAAACTCATAGAGATCTGCCTGCCTCTGCCTCCCAAGTGCTGGGATTAAAGGCATGTGCCTGGACACACAAAGTCAGAACTTCATCTTTAAGAAACATGAGATTTTAGAAAGGCCTTCTCTACAAGCCCCATCAATAGGCCTTTAGTGCAAGGTCGTCTGACACTGGGCTTGGTCCACCTGCCTCACAGCGAGAAACTGCGTCCCTTCCTCCTCGAGAAGAGGGAGTTGTGGCCTGTTGTGGTGCAGGCAGCCATTCTCCTTGTTCTCCCTTTATCCTGAATACTTAGGTCACGATGGAGCTGTGAGCACCGTCTGCTGGAGCCACGACAAGAGATGGCTGCTGTCTACAGGCCGGGACCGGACGCTGAGGGTGTGGTCAGTTCACAGGACAGAACTCATGCTGCTTTTGGTAATGTATCCATGAGCACATATGTCATGGCGGGTAGTGATGTCCCAAGCCGTGGACAGTCACAGCCGTCTGCCTCCCTGTAGGGAAGAGCAGCAATAGGTAGAATGAGGAGCTGTTTCACTACCAGAGAAACACGATGGTGGGACAGTTTCTTATACTCATCCACGTATGAAATGCATGCATACATAACACATGGGAACACACTCTTGGTGTGTATATGCACATTGACAAATACATTTCATATATATATATTTGCATTTGTAATGGTATGAAAATGCCGACAACACCCATAGTAAAACATGGATGGTTTTATGTTAGTTCAGCATTATACCACAGAGGCAATAATGACGGACAAGAGGACTTGCTGAAATGAACTATGTAAGGTTATTTGGAAATAGCATGGGGGAGAGACAGCATGAAAATCCCACCACTGAGATGGAGAGGAGGGTGCTGGGAAATTGCTTCTGCTCACCAGTCAGGACCTAGCCCAGAGGGGCTGACTTTTTGACTGTAGTGTTTAAACTGGGGTTTAGCTATAGTGTTTAAACTGGTGTTTAGCTATAGTGTTTAAACTGGGGTTTAGCTATAGTGTTTAAACTGGGGTTTAGCTATAGTGTTTAAACTGGGGTTTAGCTATAGTGTTTAAACTGGTGTTTAGCTATAGTGTTTAAACTGGGGTTTGACTATAGTGTTTAAACTGGTATTTGACTATAGTGTTTAAACTGGGGTTTGACTATAGTGTTTAAACTTAACAGTAGGTGAAAGTGATAGAAACTGTGCTTTGAAGCTTGACCTTTTCCAGGACTACTGACCCAAGGATGCAGTGCTCCCTGGTCATGCTGGGCTGCACATGCGCAGTTGGCCTGGATGCTAAGTTGTGGTGCTGTATGATCTGCTAGGCATTGAGTGCACTGTCAGCTGCCATAGTCAGATTCATCGCCTCACGAGTCACTCCTCTGGGGAGGTCAGAAGGGCAGAGGGGCTGGTCAAAGTCAGCACCCTTTAGGGAGTTCTCAGCAGCCCCAGAGGAAGGGGTGGGCTCTACTAGAGCTAGGCCTGACTTGCTATGAGACATAAAGTTGGTAGTAGACACCTAGAACCATGTTCCAAATCATGTTCTCAATTTCATCCTTGATACCCCATGTTTCGTTTACCCCCGTTCTCCCATTTTCTGAGCTGCTGTGATGAGACGTGTGTTCGGGGTGAGGACAGGAGTGTGAGGAGGGATTGGGGAGACCGCTACAGTGCACCCCAATGCTCACAGATGTCTGCTTCACAGGGTCCAGAGTCTTTCTCCAAGCCAATAACGTCCACACAGTTCTACTACATGGATGCCTTCATGCTGCTGTCTTCTGGCCCTGAACTTTGGCTCCTAAAGTACCACATTGACCTCTGCAGGGATGACATGCGGAGGTAGGTGGCCTCCTCCCTGCTTGTAGCCCTTTCTGACCCCGCCCTACCTCTTCATTCCTGGAGACACACACCTTAACATTTTATAAAAGAAGGAAGGCGGAAGTTCTGCGGTCTCTCATCGCATCCCGCTTTGCCTGAACCCTTTGGTCCGCTCATCTTTGCTCCCAGACATCACTTTGCCGCTCTACAGGAGCAGGCACTGGGTTGTCTTAGGTGGCGCTCTGAGCATGTCTCTGCCTCTGCCTCTGTAGCCCCTGTTCTTTAATTATCTTAAGAAAATAACTGTTGATGAATGGAAAGATGGATGCGAGGAGTGTGTGTATAACGTAGAAATGCTGGGAAACTTAATGCATAGTCGAACAGTGATACTCATATTCTGTAATTCAATACAAACATTCATATATTACTTAGAGGAATATCTAATAATGAGAATTTTTGATATTTAAAGTAAATTATTTTTCATAAATATGGGTTTATACTAAAATGTCTGGCAGAATATTCACCACTTACATAGTAAGAGGCATTTTGTTTTCCTTCTGTTTTTATCACCTTACACACATATTTGGCTTTCCTGATCAGGGGACTTGATGGGAGCACAGCCAACAGAGCATCCCGGCGAGTGACTTGCAGATGCCTGTTAGAATTCATACAATGTCTCAGATGTCGGCCACTGTAATTTTTCATAACATCTTTGTCATTATAGGCAGGACACACCATCTCATCACGGCAGGTATAAATGACGCAAGTCAGAGTGAGGAGCTCCTGTTTGAGCTCGTGTAGTGGGCTGAGCATGCGGTGTTGGACCCATCTTTCATTTTTCTGGTCCAGTGTGGAAACTAACCCAACCCACTCCTTTCATCCCTCTCACCCCAGCCCACCGAGCACATTTCCCTTCTCATCCACCACATCCCATCTTCCCATCCCATCTAACCCCCACCCATCTGTCAAGCCCACCCTATATCATCCATACCATCTGATCCCATTTTACCTACCCAATCCCATCCTACCTCCCCAATCCCATTTATCAAACCCCATCCTGTACCGTCCTTCCCCATCTGATCCCATCCCTCCATCCCAATCTACCCCACCCCATCCTATCTCCCCCCATCCTATCTCCCCCCACCCCATCCTATCCCACCCCATCCCACGCCATCCTATGCTACACCACCCCATTCCATCCTACCCATCCCATCCTATTCCACCTTGCCTCACCCTGTTTCACTCCAACTCATACCATCCCCAAACAGAAAGTACTGCCTGCTGTGATTGTCAGCTCCTGTCAGGAACACCAGAAGCTAAAGTAGGGTGATGTGGGTCCCAACAAGGACGTCCGTCATTGGTGAACTTCTCTTTGCCAGACATCTTTGAAGTCACCAGTACTTATATTTTCTGTGATCACTACTATGGCTTCTAGTCTAACCCAAATTTTACTTATGGTGTGAATGGACTTTTCCTTTTCTGTTTTTTTTTTCTTGACAGTATTTGCCTGATTGGGCAGACATAGGCTTAGAAATAACTAATCCAAAATACAGATGGTGGCAGTGAAGAGTAGGGGCCAGGGCTTCTAACGGACATGCTATTAATTCTGGAAGCTGATTGAGGACAAAAACTGGGCTATCTGCGTGGCCTTCTTTTGGGTTCTCTTTTCTTCTGCGCACCTCTGCCTGGCCACCTTTCAGGAGAGCCTTCTCTCACCCTATGTTTCCTAGTTTTAACACATTTTCCCAGACAAAGTGACTTCTTCCTCAGCCACCCTCCTGTGTAACTGAAGCACTGCTTCATCATGGCATCTGTGTGACCGTTCTGTACTGAAACATTTGTTCTCCAGCCTCCCTCGAGACTTGAGGCACTCCGCTTCTGTATGGTCACCTCTTTTGTGTCCCTTCAGGCCTGGGCCTGCTCCTGGAGTCTGTTGCTCTGAGGCCTGTTCCAGAGTTTCTCAGCTCGGATTCAGTGCTCTTCCAGGCAGCTCCCCCCACTACAGTTGGATAACACAAGTGTGTTCCTCATCTCGGACAGTGCAGCGTCTGCCCGGCCTGGCCTAGCTCCTCTTTGCCACCGGTCTGACCCTGTTAACATTCTCTTTGTCTTGTCCTTGCCAAACTGTGCTCGGGCTGGGCTGAGAATCCTTGCTGGGCTGGCCTACCAGTTATTTTCCTGAGGAAATTATTTCCATGGTTAAGATCGTGTGTCTATTAAAGCAACACCCGATGCTCATGTTACCCTTCTGAAGGGAGTGAGGACTAACATTTAGGATAAGATATCAACACTGTGTAACTGGGTGAGTACTTATAAGGGAATATCTAATTATTTTAGAATTAAGAGACAAACTTGCTTTCCCATAGTTAGGAGTGAGTTATTTTGGGCTTATAATATACTGTTATTTTCATGAGGCATTCTAGAGAAAAAAAACCACCCAGAATTTCTGATAGAAAATTGAATAAATTTCCCAAAGGAATATTGGCGTGTCTTATTCAATCGTTCCCTCAGTATTAAAACATATGACTAAGCAATAAAAATGCTTTATTTTCATTTTTATCCTTTTAAATGTAGAATGTTTAGTTGTAGTCAGAAGTAAAAACACTTCCCCTTTTCTTCCCCTCCCCCCTTTCTTCCAGGTATAAACCCAAAAGCAGGTATAAACCTGTTTTCAGGCTCCCGTTAACCAGTGGGGCAGACGTGACCACTCTGTCTGCAGTGAATGACTTTTATTCCCGTATCCTTCCTCCTTCCCAGTGGCTGTGCCTTGCACTAAGCATTGCTTTCTGGCAAAACCCTTTTTGGGCATTTGAAAAGCCTCAGGCATTCTGCTAGGCAAAAAGGACAGACAGATGCTTCTCCTTGTGGAACGTGGGATCTTGTGCAGCAATTGTAGGTGAAGTAGCCTTATCTTAATAATAGGAGGCACCTCCAAGGAAAGACAGTCTGGGTTATGACACAGCACGGTGAGTAATACATAGTCACCTAGTGCATTTTCGTAGTAAACTGACCCCTCTGCTGTGGACGTCCTTGTACACTGTCCCCTGCTGTGGACGTCCTTGTACACTGTACACTGTCCCCTGTCCCCTGCTGTGGACGTCCTTGTACACTGTCTCTGCTGTGGACGTCCTTGTACACTGTACACTGTCCCCTGCTGTGGACGTCCTTGTACACTGTCCCCTGCTGTGGACATCCTTGTACACTGTACACTGTCCTCTGCTGTGGACGTCCTTGTACACTGTACCCTGTCACCTGCTGTGGACGTCCTTGTACACTGTCACCTGCTGTGGACATGCTAGGATTACAGGCACTGGGCTGGCAAAACTCAGCAGATGGCTTTTGACAGGGCATGGTGTGAGTTCACAACTCGTGTTGGTGACTAGCCACATGGAGGGCTGTGTTCTGTGTCTTCATCGTCCCCTCACATATGTATGGCAGTTGCTGGTGTTTGTCCCCACTGTGTCTTGTGCCATGTGCTGTCGTCCTCACCGGGAGCTCTAACTGGTAGAGTTGCTCTGACTATTTTCTCTGGACCTTCAGAAATTCCTTACTAATTATCCATTTCTGAACCTTGTGAGGTCCCTTCTTTTTTTTTTTTTTTTTCTGAAGTGGGTTAGAACTGTGTGCCCATAGGTGAGATTGCCGAGATGATCCCTTGACTGAAACCCTGCAGACGTCGTACTCACAGCTGGCCGGGACCGGGCTGTGGAAGTTTTTGACCTCAATGTTGGCCGCAGCATTGCAGTGATACCCCAAGTCCATTCTCGGCCTGCCCATCAAATCTGTCAGAATAAAGTAAGTTTGTAGATAGTAGAACTATTAGAATTTTAATTCTAAGCTTAATGTATTTAAGAGTTACACATATATTATGATACAAATTTATAACTACTGCCAGGTCCAGTATGTGCTTTTTCTAATCATCAAATTATACTTTCTTCCTTTGCTACAGAATTCTTAAAGATTTATTTATTTTATATTATTTTTAAATTATGTGTGTATGTGTGTGTGTGTTCTTGGATGCAGAGATGTTAGATTGTCCTGAAGCTGGAGTTGGAGGGGCTTGTAGGCATGGGTGATTGGAGCCACACTCAGGTCCTCTCCAAGAGCAGTGCGTGGCCCACATCTCTAGCCCATACATGGACTGTTTGTTTTTTGTCTCTGATTAGTTGTGGATCCATGTAAGTATCTGTGACTGGCATGCATTCTCACTGAGGCTGGGTTAGGTCTGGGTGTGTCTGGGTTAGGTCTGGGTGTGTCTGGGTGTGTCTGGGTTAGGTCTGGGTGTGTCTGGGTGTGTCTGGGTGTGTCTGGGTTAGGTCTGGGTTAGGTCTGGTGTCTGTGCGATGGTGGGGAGGAGTGGCAGTCACGTCCGTTGCAGGCTGTGGTGGTCTCTGCACCACAGGTTCTCCTTGCACTGTTGGATACAGTTATCCTCTTTGAGATATTGTGGGTTTTAAAGCTGTCCTCAGATGTGTTGAAAGGCAGGGCTAATTGATAGTCTAACGGACCAAGTCCTCTCTTAGATAGGTTTCTATTGCTGTCATAAAATATCCTGACCAAAAGCAACTTGGAGAGAAAAGCATTTATTTCAGCTTGCAGTTTGTAGTCACATCCTGGAGGGGAACCAGGGCAGGAGCTCAAGAGAGAAACCGGGAGGCAGAAACTGAAGCATAAGCCATGGAGGAGTGCCGCGTACTGGCTTGCTTCCCCTTTCCCCGCTTACTTCCTTTTCTTTTCTTTTTTAAAGATTTATTTATTTATTATGTATACAGCCTTCAGTCTGCATGGATGTCTACAGGTCAGAAGAGGGCACCAGATCTCATTACAGATGGTTGTGAGCCACCATGTGGTTGCTGGGAATTGAACTCAGGACCTTTGGAAGAGCAGCCAGTGTGCTTAACCTCTGAGCCATCTCTCCAGCCCTCAGCTTACTTTCTTATACAACTCAGACAACCCCTGACGAGGGGTGGCACCACCCACGTGGCTGGGCCCTCCCACATTAATTGATAATCAAGAAAACGCCGCACAAACAATCTGATGGAGGTATTTTTTAATTGAGGTTCCTCTTCTCAGGTAATTCTAGTTTGTGCCAAATTTGATGAAACAAAACAAAACAACAATGAAGCAGTCCCAAAGTGACTCATTACCTAAAGGCCATCTAAGACTTGTAAGAAAAGCTGACTTTAAAAAGATGTGTGTATGTGTGTGATATATATGTATGTGTTTGTGTGTGAGTGTGTACCATGACACACATAAGGTCAGAGGAAGGCTTTGAGTGGCAGTTCTTGCCTTGAACCTTACTCAGTGAAGGGTCTCTCTGTTGTTTGTCCCTGGCTTGCAAGCTTCCAGGAGCTCTGACGCCCATTTTCCTGTAGGCGTGCTGAGATTCTAGCAGCTGTGACCACAGCCAGTTCACGGGCTCTAGAGAGCTGAACTCAGATAGTCAGGCTTTCAAGGCAAACTTTACCCTCTTGAGCTATTTCCCTGACTCTTATGTTTTTGTTTATTTTTTAATTAATTAATTAATTTATTTGGTAGGGTTTCTCTGTGGCTTTCCTGGAACTCACTCTATAGACCAGCCTGGCCTTGAACTCACAAGATCCACCTGCCTCTGCCTTCTAAGTGCTGGGATTAAAGGCGTGCTTAGTGAGCCAAGCTAGTAGGAGCATGGAAGACAGTGGTGCCTAGTGTGATTTGATGAACTGCGAGGGCCTGGCTCAAGAGATTTCAGGAGAAGAATAATATGTGGCAGAGAGATCATTTTTGTGAGAATTTCATGAAGAATGTGGCTGTTTTTTGCCCTTGACCAGAGATTCTGCCTGAGGCTGAAGTGGAGAGATTTGGGTTAATATTCCATCGGCAGAGGAAATCTCAAAACAGCCCAGCGTAGATTCTGTCATGTGGTTATTAACACTCATAGTTATAAGATTTATAATGAGAAGGAGCAAACTTAGCAAGGAAAAACACAAAATGAACAATTTGAGGAGAAAAGGGGCACCAGGAAGTGGGATGGAGCTAAGTCCTGTGTTCAAGGAGATAAGCTGATTAAGAACTGGAGTAAATTGATCCCGAATTTCCTGAGAAACCAAAACACTGATTTCCAAAGTGGTTGCACAAGATTGCATTCCCACCAGCAATGGATGAGGGTACCCCTTCCTCCACAGCCTCTCCAGCAAAGGCTATCATCGGTGCTTTTGATTTTAGCCATTCTGACAGGTGTAAGATGATATCTCAAAGTTGTTTTGATTTGCATTTCCCTGATTGCTAATGAGGTTGAGCATGA